TTTTACTGTTTGTATCACCCTATAAATAGGGCAAGTGTTAGGGTAGAGAGTCCTTTTTATGTTGTTCATTATCGTAAACTCTCTCAAATACTTGTACTCTTTACAGACATAAATGAGCCAATCAGATCTTATTTACTCGACGTGTTCTTTCTGATTTCTGTGATTGATTTTGTATTCATTACTTGATTATAATACACATCACATGGGCACTACCTCGTGCTATCGTTACCTGGCCAACCTTGTAATGAGGTTACACATGTTCGACGTATGACCAACCCTTGGTGGATTAGAGCATGACTTATCTTCCGAGCCAACATAGGTGTTAGGCAGTGAAGTGGCTTGATGGAATATATTGTTGCGGACCGACATGATTGCTAGGCAGCAAGGCATACCGATACTTTTGCTAGGTGGGCCGATCGATGAAAACAACTTTTTGGGTAACCGGTGGGCGCTGTAAGGATCTTACAAGATAGCCCTTGACGTTTTGTAGTGTATCTCCAGGGATACATTATCACATTTTCCTTCCATTAACTTTCAACGATGATTCTAAATAGTTTCTACTACTGGTCAAAACTAATATCAAGAAAATCACATCGTTCAAACCTCATCTAAACAATGACAATATACCAATTCAGCACCCAATTTAAAATTTGGAGTTTGACGTTCCTCAAGATCAGTCTTACTGTTAGGTGCATTTTGTGCACCTTTTTGCACACCTTTTAGTCCCTTTTATGCATCATTTTAGCATAGTTGTTCTTCATTTTTCTTGCATTTCATCAAATTCATGTTAGTCTCTAGAAAAACCTTATTTGCACGCTTTCATGATATTTTCAGGTAAACCAGAGGTTGGAACGCGCTTTGGGAGGTGTCGGGAAGCATGGGTGAAGATTTTAGGATGATCGGACGCAAAACGGAAAAGTTGAAAAAATCAAGTTTGGACTTGGAGACAGAAGCGTACACGGGGCGTGTTGAATTTACACTGAAAAGAGAGCACGGGTCATGTTTGACCAAAAAGAAGGTATTGACCATGCTGAACACGACCCGTGTCAGTTTAGCCCATTTTGACACGGGCCGTGTTGGCCCAACTGAGTAATTTTGAGCATTGTACTTTGGAAGAAGAATCGATGATGGAGTGCCAATTCCCACTAAACATGACCCGTGTTGATTTACTCTATTTTGACACGAGGCATGTTCGGTCCTAAAACTGACTTTTGGCAGTTTTTCCTATCTTTGATAATTCGGGAATTAGGTCATTTTGAGACGAAGGCATCATATCAGAGCACTATTGGTTAGAGGATTCTGAAGGCTTTTGCAAGGATTTGATCATTTATCAATTGGAAACATTATTTCTCTTATTTGTAGGTTGTAATTGCGTACTATTTCCATCTTTTCGACTTGTGATCTTGTTCTAGCCATGTGTGGCTAGAACCTTAGTTTCTCCAACCTTATGTTTTGACTTCTTAAGTTGTGAAATCAATCATATGACTTGATGTTTACTTTTAATTTCTATCTAGTGAATTTGATTTTGCTTTACTCAAATGTTTGATTCTAATTGTGATTCTTATTGGCCATTTGAATTAGGGTTAGGTCATTCAAGTTATCTAATTGCAAAATTCGTAATTGTTTTGTGAACTGGACTAAGTAACAAGCACTAAACTGATTTTCATTGAATGAATTTAGTGTAAATATTATTCACACACTCTTACACTCCCGAGCTTGTGAGGAGTATCGGGTGTTGTTGGAAACATTCACATAAAGTTTAATGCAATCTTTTGATCTAATTCTAAGAGCTTGTTTAGATTAGGTTAGTAAGGTTATGGTTAATCAAAGAGCTTGTTTTGGTTAATTAATCTAGTGAATGGGAAGTGTTAGAGCTTGTTAACACTTTCAAGTACCAACTTAGATAGAATTGAGCAAGTATCTAGTCATCTTTGAATCGCATTGCTAAGTTGTCATACATAGAGTTGGAGTCCTTATAATTTCTGAATTTAATTCACTCATTTAGTTGATTACTTGTGTCTTTAATTAATTGTTCTAATCATTGCATTCAAAACTCCCCTCTTTACTGTTGGTGACCATAGTACCTTGCGCAAAGAAGTATAGACTGATTGTCCCGTGTCTCTATGGATCGACCCTACTTGCATTGTACTACCTTTTAGTGCAATGTAGTAGTGTTCTTTTGGAGTATATCGTACCCCTTTATTTGTTGGGTTTGACACGCCTAACACTTACTTACAACACTATCATTGCAATCTTGTATCTCGTAATCATTCTTAATACCCCTTAGACCATTATGTCAATTATGCAAATCATTTCACTAAACATCATGATTTTTTGATAAATGTTTCTATGTTGAGCCCTAACAATAAAATCAAGTAATCAGGCCCGATGAAGAGCATGTGTAATATGGGCATACGTACGGGGGCCAATTTATTAAGGGGCCTAATTTTTTATATTATATTCAGATCAGTCCCAACAAATAAATGAATGATAGATTAGTCCAAGTCCGGGTCGAGTAGATCATCAAAACGTGAGAAAGCAACACATAAGCGATTGTCATTACCGATTGCCGATCATTGATCATTCAGCAAGCGCAGCCAGCGAGGGTTGATTGACAATTAAAATTACTCTTTGTTAATCGATTACTAATCAAGTACACGTTCATTTTCATTAAACATCCATGTATCTAGTTTGCTCTTTTCTCTAGGATCTAGAATCCAGAAAATGACTAATTTATGTTATCACAAACTGAATGTTGAATTTGGATACTTTATACTTGAATGTAGAGATTATCAGAATCACTTTATCAGATTATAGTTCATACTGAAATTCTGAAATCTAAATAACTGTTGAATGTTGAAAGTTGAAACTAATGAACTTGTAGTGATGAAGTCTAAACAACCAGCTGGTAGTCAAAAACGTAAAAAATAAAAGAAAAGAAAACTAGATGAAGAAAAGAGAAAGGCTGACGTCGATGCTCTAGATAAGCTTATCTATAGAGAACCTGTTGAAGAGCATGTTGAAGAGCACATTGAAGAGAATGTTGAAGAGCAAGAGCATGTAGAAGTAGAAGTAAAAGAGCTAGAAGAGTAAGAGCCTGTTAAAGAGCTTGTTCATATATGTGATCCAAGAAGGTGCGAAAAACGTAATTATGAGGAGATTAAACTTTTGGTCGAGAAAGGTCCTAAAAGATATACTAGTATTATGTATTGACGATAAATTTGGTAGACGATTTTCTGCAACTTTATATACAAGAACTTTATTAAATTTGGAGAAGTGTGATATATAATGGCTAATATATTTGAAAGATCTAGAAAGGTATTTTGTTTATGTTGTAAAGTGTTTAGAAAAGGGATTTCGAAAGGTAAATTGGATGGTGAAGGTTATGCAGATTGGCACCATGTTACCACTAGAGTTAAAGAACATGAAATTTCCTTGGATCATCTTACAAATAGGAATAAGTGGCTTGATATGCGTAAAATATTGAACTTGAATGAAACAATTGATAAACTTCAAGACGAGCAATTTAAGAAAGAAAGAGATTACTAGAAACAAGTTGGGAAAGTCGGGTTGAGAGTGTAAAAGGCTATTAAACTGCAATTTGTCAATGTACAGGAAGCTTTACTTCAAGTTGGAGATAAAAGGATAATGATGTTGTAATTGTAAGTGAAGCAAGTTCACTAGCAGAAAAAGAACTCGGTGACTTTAAATTTTTAGTATCAACTGTTATCTGGTATCAAGTATTAAACCAGGTGAATATTGTGAGTAAAAAGTTACAATAAAAGGATATGCATCTTGATAATGCTATTATTGAAATAAACACATTGATTGATTACTTCAAGGATTATAGAGAAACTAGTTATTCAAAAGTGATTGCTGAAGATCAGGATATTGCTATTGAAATGGGTATTGATCCAATATTTCCACAAAAAACATTTGATTCAAAGGAAAAAGAAGGTTTGATGAGAGTTCATGTAGCGAAGAGGTTTTATTTAGAGCTGATTTCAGAATCAATTATTTCTTATACATTGTTGGTCAAGCTAGCGCTTCTCTTAAGACAAAATTTGAACAATTCAAAGAGTGTGACAAATTATTTGGTTTCTTATTTCCACATAATTTAAGGGGAATTAAAGATAAAGATCTTAAGTCTTCTTGTCTTCTTCTTGAAAAAACACTCAAGTTTGAAGAAAGATCGGATATTGATGCCGAAGAACTTTATTTGGAGTTAAAATTATTTGCGACATTGGAAGCCAGTGAATTTAGCAATCTTATAGATGTTTTGAAGTATTTGAAAGAACTTGATTATTTCCCAAATGCAAGCATTACATATAGAATATTGTTGACTATTCAAGTAATGGTGACATTTGCAGAACAAAGTTTCTCGAAATTGAAGTTTTTGAAATCTTACTTGCGCTCCACAATGACCCAAGAAAGATTTAGCGGTTTGACGATGATATCTATTGAGAACGAAATCTTAGAGAGTATAGACTACAGAGAGTTGATCAACAAATTTGCTATCAAGAATGCTAGGAGAGCTTCACGAGTCTTCGGTTAGCTGTTACGATATGTAATTACTCATTAAAATACTATGATTTAACTATGTTTATTGTTATAAAATTTATCGTCGTTTTAAAAAAACTTTACTTTATATAATTTAATTCGTTACATGTGAGAGCCTAATGAAATTTTTTCCGGCTTGTCCTAATCATTTGTATCCTTAGTAGCATCCCTAAAAGTAATAATGTTACACCGGTCATACATGCAAATAACACAATAATTTACTTGGTTGTCGTGGGAGTATAAAGTAAAGTAAAAATAATTTTAATATACTTAAATTACTCTCAACTAGAAATACCTTTTAGTTTGTTTGTGAATTGAGCCAACTAAACTTGTTTAACCAAAACATGAGGGACCGAAAATGAAACTTACTTTAAATAAAGAGGTCCCATGTAAATACCCTCAACTGAAAGGGGATAACCTGTAAATACATAGTTCTATAAATGTCAAAAGTATGCACAGACGTATGTGGCGCTGTATGTATGGCCAAAAACGAAACAGCACTTTACGAAAGCAGGTAATTTCGTAATACTCTCAAATCTGAAGGGCAAAATAGTCAAAACGAGTTAAAAAATACATTATATTAAATCTTGTATACAAAAAGGAAAAAGAACAAAATTTCAAAACTCCACCCTTGCCGGACTTGAAAGTTTAAAGCGACTATTTCGCCGGCCCCATTTTCCACCCACACGCACAAACTCTCTCACTCTAGAAAAACCGACGACAGTTTCTTTGTAACCATCGTTTTGAGTTTTGAACAAATTTTTTTCCAGTTTTTTTGCCTAAGAAAGTTACAGATTCGAGTCTGATTCTTTCCATCTTCACCCAGAAACAGAGTGACTACGATGGACTCGCCGGGACCGGAAAAAATGGTGAATAGAGTGGCTGTAAAGTCGTCGATGGTAGACTCCATTAAACGGTGGTCTTTATCGGGAATAAGGATTCCTAAAGAGGAATTGCGGCAGAAGATCACGATGCCTGAGTATTTACGTCTTGCTATAAGGGATTCCATTGCCTCAAAAGATATTGATTCTGCAAAACGTCATTTCGATGCTACTACTACAACCGCCGGTGGTGGTGGTGACGGCGATAAACCGCCTCTCGCCGCCGCTGAGTGTCCGTTGGTTGTTTTTATTAACTCCAAGAGCGGTGGACGCCATGGTCCACATCTTAAAGCAAGGTTGCAGGAGTTAATGGGCGAAGAACAGGTTTTTTTTTTTTTTTTTTTTTTCGATATAAAAACTCATAAATAAATGTTCAATTATTGCATATTTTTGAATTTTGATTCATCGTCTAATTTTCCCCGAGAATATAGTTGCGAAAATTGCGTCAAACTCAATTGATTTTGATTAAAATCTTGTGATTACAAAAGCTTTATAAAATCAGTCTATTGTTATATCAGGAAACGCATGATTCATGAAACTTTTGATTCACTGAAAGTCAATACAAAGTGCACATACGAACAAATACGAATTCAAGAAAATTATTTTGCTAATGTGGGTTTTCAAACTTCTTAATTTTTTTGAAAGTTCTTAATTTTTAGTGATAATTCCTAGATCTGACAATACACAAAAGAATCTACACATACAAGTTTCATTTATTCATAAAAAAGAATATGTGTTTTTGATTTTTTTTTTCTCTAAATCTATCTTCCAAAAGTGCCCAAGATCTATAAACCTGTCAAAATCCGACACTTATGGTAGACACCATGGTGGGGCCCACTGATTTTGGTTCTTTGACACTAGATATATTTGAACATTTTCGTGATGTTTAGCACAATTATTAATCTTTTTCTTTCCATTTAGTACTAAAAGAACAATTTTCTCATACTTTTTTATTTTTATTTTTGTGTTTAGGTATTTGACCTTTCTAATGTGAGGCCCCATGAGTTTGTTGAGTATGGATTGGGTTGCTTGGAGAAGTTTGCTAGTCTTGGTGACAACTGTGCCAAAGAAACTCGCGAAAAGTTAAGGATTGTGGTATGCTTCTTATGTTATCCCTAAGAATGTTTGATTTTTAGTTAAATGTCTAAAATACCCTTCAACCATGACAAACCCAAGGAATCTTGAATCTTTTTATAATGATTACTTGGGCAAGGATGTAAAGTGGTTGAACGGGTAATGATGTATGAATAAAGTAAATGTGGTATATATAGATTATAGAGTGAGACTAAATGGCCATTTTACCCTTACATTTCAAATAACAAATTTCACAATACTAATCATTTTAACATGAGAGGAAAAAAAAAGTAGAAAGTCAAATAGGTAAACCGTAAAGTGTTAGGTGCTGTTTGTTTTTTCTGAGGCAAAATGTCTGCAGTCTGCGGACCACATCTATAGACCTCTGCAGTAGAAGATGTGGACCAAACGTCTGCAGTCTGAAAAAAGAAGTCTGTTTGTTTTCTTAACATCTGCGGGCTACTAAAATAAACTGAAATCTAAATAAACATATTTTTTTAAACTTCAAAGTGTTTTTTGTTAATATTTTTATGACTTTGTTATAAATAATTAACAAATCTATATCAACTTTTATGTATTATTGTATAAAAAATAAAAATAAAAATGGTAGATAAAACCAACAATTTTGGTTGCAAAGTTATAACTAAACATTATAATTAAGGATCAAAGAAATTTGATACATAAATGGATGGAAATAAACTTCGATTTTTTCAATTAAATCCATTAAAAACGTAGCATA